CTTGTAAATTCCATGGATTTTGACAGCATGTAAGTGTAAATATCCTCTGATTCATCCTTTCAATTTTGTTTGAAATTGTAATGTGTTGTAATTTACTGGGGAGAGCAAAAGACCAAAGAAAGACAGATAAAGGTATCTCACACTTAAGAGAATCCCTTTACCTATTCTCTACTATTTGCAGAGTATTTTAAAGCTTCTTGCTGCAATCCAGGTTTATGAAGAACTGGCAGCTACAATCTGACCCGAAAAAAAAAAATGATCATCCTTTTCTCTCAGCCTTCAAGGAAATCCCTCATATATTCCAGAGCATCTGGCATCAAAGGCCTTGGAAGAGATAGAAAACTGGCAGAACAAATGGATTGACCATTCCCTTCACAGCTGCTGCAGTATTAAGTTAATACTTATTTAATTCTCTCACCCCAGACTCAATCTCCCATTTTCAGCCTAAATGCAAATAAATGAACAGAACTTTCAAGTATTAAAACTGACCACTTCTGACAAAAGACAAAACCTAAGTAGACCCTATTTAAGTGTAAAAAGTGAGATATACAGTACCATTATTAGCTTTGTATATGGAAGGAGACAGTGGGACATGCAGGAATATAACTATTCCTATAAATAACATGTTTTCTGTATTATCAATTTATTAATAAGTACTACAAATGAAAGAGCATTAGAAAAGAACATCTAGTCTCCCAGTTATATAGATCCTTCTTTTCAGCACATTCAAAAGTGTCCAGGAACACGAAAACATCAAGCCTGCAGTCCCCAAATTCCTGGAATTAAGGGAAGAGTTACAGTTGCAAAGTGCTGGGGCTGTAAAGTAAATCCCAACTAGCTCAGTAACACCTATTCTGCAGTCCCTGCAATGCTCAACATCTTCGACCCAAAAAAGACACGGTATAAAATATTACCATTCTATAAAAAAAAATCATTATTTGATCCCTTAAGTAGCCCCTGAAGTAGAAGGCTGTGGTGAAAATTTATCAGGCATTTTCCTCCAAATGGAATGTACGCTCCAATACCCAAAGAGGTCTATAGGACATGAAATTTTAACGGAATTGTTAATGTCTTTCTAGGTTTTATAATACCACAAAGAGATAGTCATCATGTGCTTCCACGACAGCAGATAAATGCTAATGCCTGTAGTACACAATGCTTTCAGAGTGGTTTTGAACAAAAGTCATCTTCTACTCTTGTTGGGCAAATTAATGGGATCAATAAATTTTGTAGTATCTCCACATAAGACACTTAAACTTCACAAACTTAATCAGTAAATTCACAATGTAGAGAAGGGACCACAAACAACTTGTGTGGATTCCCTGAAAGGCTGGTCTGCTCTGAGAAACATGAAAAGTCAAAGGCCTGGGGATTTTCAGATGTGAACCCATGCCTTGATGTGGGAAAGGTTTGTGGAAGATCCTAAAGGTCAGATGTGAGGCTCTCCCTTATCAACAAGGTCATATGTTAAGTGAAACTGAAACCAGGAGGAGTGTACTCCCTGGAACCACAAGCACCACTCTGATTACAGTAAATATATTTTCAAAGGGAAAGAAGTTTAAAAAGTGATGTTTAAAAGTGTATTTATCAGCATAAAGAAATATGTCCACTAAAGATGTTGTTCTCAGGTAATATCCATAAGTATTTCCAATGGCATGAAATTTAAAGCTATTTCCAAAAAACAAGTCTAGTTGTAACTATTGATCTATAGTTCCCTCTGATTGGAAACAGTAATGATTTCACTAGAGAGTAAAAAAAAAAAAAAAAAGTCTTTTCTTCCTCTTTTAAACTGGAAAACTCTGTATTTACTTTTGTTACAGTAAGAAATTTTTGCTAATTTTATCTTGGGACATTTTGCTTTGGTTAGAAAGAAATGATGATTCAAAGCCTGCTAATCTTTTATGAGAGATACATGAGAAAAATGCCATTATCTCTCTTTGCAAGGGGAACGTGCAGGCACTAAAATACATCCTTGTATTTGAGCTAAACAAACCTTGAGCAGACAGACACGGACTTAGACGAGCTTGAGAACAGAAAAGGAAATTCCACTAGAATGACTTCAGACCTGTCAGGTTTTTGGTTTTGTTTTCATTTTAGGAGGAGAGTTTGAGCATGTACAATCTCCCTTCAACCTACTCCTACCTGGGTTATCTGACAAGTTCGAGTTCCTTAATCCACAACCCAGCTAAACCCACTGCTTCAAATTCCTCCCTGTCAGCTGGAGTGAGTTCTGATGTGCCTCCTGGAAGCACACACTGTCCATATGAGGTACTCACACAAATTCCCTCCTTTTGGGTGACAGGCTGCAGTTCCAGCAGCTGAGCCCATTCCCTTATGGGGCAGAACCCTGGAGCAATATTATAAATACACCTTGAGTTGAGTTTGTGCAAGGTGTGGCCCTGTGGCACTTGAGGGCTCCTGGCAGGAGGTCTGTGCAGGGATGGTGCCTCACCACCAATGTCAACACTGTGGGATCTGTAGGAAGGAATCTTTCACTAACCAAGACCATTCCAGCTGCAGTTTGGCCAGTGCTCAATATCACTTCCCCTAGCAGGTGGATCTACATCGTCCTGATTGATTTAAACTCAGCAGAGGAAAGCTGAGCTGATTTAGAGTGCCCTTCCCACATCTAACACTGAACACTCATTAAAACAAATCAAATTCCCCAAACTTTTGTTGGAACAAAGTCACCATTCCCATTTCCCCACGTTCAGGGACACTGGTAAGATATGGGGTGGCAGAAAGCAAAGCCCATCCACAGCACACAACACTGTGGAGCAGCTTCTGAGTAGGGAGTGAGGTGCTTTGTTTTCCTTCTGAAGCCAGACCCTTCCAAGAGACTCCAGCAGGTGCAGTGTAGGAGACACAGGAATGAAATGGTTGCTAACTGGTTCCCACATTGGTGCAGGGAGCTCCTCACTCCCTCTTCACAGACACAGGAACGAAGGACACTCTCCTGCTATTTTGTGATTTTATCAAGCAGCCAAACATAATGAATGCAACATCTTCCTTTGTAAAAAAGGCAAGGTTAGACAAATGGTCAGGGAAACGAGCACATATTCTCCCTAAGGCTGGGTTTCAGCATTATTATGCAAAACAGAAACTGTCCTATGCTTTGGATATACCTGAGGGAATCAGTCCCAGAATGTGAAAACCAAAGGATTTCTCAAGGTGAGCACAAGTGTTTGCTCTGCAGGAACTTCAAGTTCTGCCCTACTGTTTGAAGGTCAGATTGTGCTTCTCCAATTCCAGCCAAAACTCATCCAGGGATACTGTGTTCATTTCTTGAAAATCAACACAATTTTCCAAGGAACTAAACCCTTTCACCGTTAACTCACAAAAACATTTATATCTTGCAAGAAACACCTATCAACAGAAGTTAACTTACTGATTTATTTTGTAAACACTGTGTTTTAATGAACATGGCAGCCTGATATTGGAAATTAATGATTTTTCTCTTGCTGAATGTTGAGCTTTATATAGATCAGTGTTATGAGGCTTCCATCACAGCAAAAGGCCCTTTTTATTAATGGCTACTTTATCATTTAAAACATGTATGTTGTTACTTAAAATGGTAAATTGCTTTGCACTGTCCTTGAAGTGCATTGCATAAATATTGTATTAAAGCCTTAGCTTACACTTCATAAATAATTTAATTTTAAAATACTCTTCCATGAGACCACCAGCTGGCAAGATGTTCAATTTTCTGGTAAAAACATGTATTTATTGCACATCTTAATTTAACTTGTTGAAGATTTGCTAAAAGCCACATGTGATAGATGTTGTAAGAACTGTATTCAAACCCAAACCTCAGGAAGCTAAAAAGCCTCATTCCCCTCATAAGTTTTATATCTCTGCATAAGCAGTTTCAGTGGCAGTGGAAAAGCTGAAATCTATTCAAGGAAGCTTTCAAGCATAATTTTCTGATAACCTGAAAATGACTTATAGCTTATTATGTGATGATCAGAAAACTTTATAGATTCCATTAAATTTCTTTTCACTACAGTCCTTCCTCCACCATTTCCATTTCATGTTGCTGCATTTAAACTGCTGTAGAAACTTGTTCAAAGTGCCAGACATTAAAAAAAAAAAATCAAAGGAAATTTCAGATAATTAACTTTGATGAATGAGCATATTTTAATTCATGTCTGGTAATATTCTTGTTAATGACATGTCTGCTTAGGACATCCATTAAAAGTCCATTAACTTAACAGGGAAAGTCTAATAAAGTTATCCTGGAAATTTTCTGGTGTATTAACGTTATGGACTTTAAATGAATATCTGCTGTAGGAATTGCTATTAGCAAGGCTACCATTCTAATTAAACTTGGGCTCTGAGAGTGAAAAAAAATGTACAAAGATAACAACAAGCAGAAGTAGCACTTTTTTTGAAAATTGCCATAAGGGAGATTGGTTACAGGTCACAAATTACACTATCAGTAACAGCTATAAATTATGATATTATGTTTTTTTTTTTGTAGCTTGTCATCCAGTATATGCAAAAGGAGTGTTTCCTTCATGGAATCGATTGCTGGGGCTCCTATTTACTTCTAGATTGTTGAGACTGAACTGTACAAAAAAAGGCTTTTTAGGCCTTTGCAAAGGGTAGAAGATAAAATATTTAAACACAGTTCCTCATGACAATGCAAAGTAAAAAACGTACTTAGGAAACCTGTTCCCTATGGGCATCCAGCCTTCTCAGCAGCCCATCTGAAGTACATCAAGCCCAGATACATTTCTGCTGACATTCACAATTATACAGCAAAACATCTTTTGATATCTATATATCTATTATTCATACAATTCCAGAATGGTTTGGGTTGGAAGGGACCTTAAAGATCATCTCATGCCAACAACCTGCCATGGGCAGGGACGCCTTCCACCAGACCAGGTTGCTCCAAGCCCCATCCATATATATATGTTTATATCTGATATATTTATATATATATAGCTTTTTATTAGTATGAATATACATAGGTATGAAACAACACCCTGATATACCTATTTTTTCATACTTATCCTTCACCAAACATTCCAAGCCAATCATTTTCCAGAAGCTGTCATCCCAACCCTTGTCTGACGTGTACGTCCACTTGCACACGACTGTACAGAGGGACCTGGAAAAGAGACAATATGGGCACAGAATCAGGCAGGTGAACACATTTGGCTTTAAACCTGTGACTAGAAAAAAAGTTTCTCCAAAAGGATCTCTTCTTCACCGGTCCAAAAACTCCGAGCATAATGCTAACATTAAAAAAACTGGTTACTGTTTGGAGTGCACGTCTTAAGGACCTTAAAAGGACCTTGTGTTTAAGATTCTTCTCTGCTGAAACAACCCCTGGTCTGGCCACTTCATTGCATAAATCAGTCAAATAACAGGCCATGCATTTGCCTAGAGGACAGCAGAGCATGAACACAGCAGCTCTTTAGCAGGCAGCTCAGATTGCTGCTATTCCAGGCTAAATAACTGCTTTGCACACTGTACGTCCTTAGAAAAACTTTGTATTTCTTATTTTCAAACCAAATTACAAATTACAGGAGATCATGTATGCACAGGTTACATTTTAAAGTCTGATTCTTGATAAGCTGAGGCTGCACTGCAGGAGCAGGATATACACAAAATACAAGAACACTTGCAGAAAAGTCTGTCATAAAACACAGAACGGTCTTCTCCCAAAATTATTGATATTCCCATTCTCTCACTCCTCCCCAAAATAAGAAAAACGTTCCTGAAGATTTAGTATTACTAAGACTCTTTTCTGTCTGAACACTAAGAGTCATCTCAGAAGATCAGTATTAAACTGCACTTCAGAAGTCAATAAACTAAGATGTATTAAAAATGCTAAATAACACTGAAAATTGCAGCTACATGTAGGCTTGGGAATACCACTGTGCCATCAAGTGCAAGACATCTCAGATGCATCTCAGGGAAACAGAACTTCATAACTGTTCTCAAAGAGAAACCCTGTTCAGAGCTGGATTGCCTTTGATGTTTTACAAGGCAGCTTATTTGTGACTCATTTTTAGCCAAGGTGAGCTCTCACAGACATATTCTCTTTACCAGGATGTTACAATTTGAATGTGTATCTTCAAAGCAAAGTCAATTTTACTGAAGCATTTGAGTTTTTCTGGCAGTTTTGCATAAGTAAAAATCCAAATAAAATTCCTCTCTACCAAAAAATTTTTTGAGTAAAAGGAAACCTTTCCTTTCATCCAAGTGAACTACCTAAGGATTGAAGTATGAACCACAGAATGGTTTGGTTTGGAAGGGGCCTTAAAGCTCATCTTGTTCCAACCCCCTGCCATTAGCTGGGACACCTTCCATCAGTCCAGGCTGCTCAGAGCCCCATACAACCTGGCTTTGAACAGAAAAACAGAAGCTATTTTTATTTACTATATACAAATCAAAGCTAAGGCTTCTGGACACTGGTACTATACACACAGTAAAGCCAAATAAGAACAGGAAGAGCCTTCCACACAGATGGAAAATTATCTGGGACTCACATTCCATGTTTTGGGGATTTACAACAAGAACCAACACCCTTTAATGTGACACTGAGAAGAGTGAATGATTCCAGGGACTCCCTGAACTCCCATTTTCTCATCTAGGACAGAAATGTATATTTTAAATGCATCATGTTTCATTTCATCCTGTTCTACTGGAGTGACCATGTTTTTACAACCAGAGTACAGGTGATGTTCATTCACATCCCACTGGTTATAAAGGGGTGTTTTTTGCTCTTGAGAATTAATTAACATCTTTTTTGGAAAAAAAAAAAGATATAGAGTTAACTATTTATATCCCTATAGATACTGTAGAGATTATTTCAGGGCTACTCTTAAAACAGCTTTGATACCTCACCCCCTTTTTTTTATTAACAGTTTAAGAATAGATCAGGCAATCACAATGCAGTGATTCTGTGAAAATAGAAAAGCACATGACCTGTAACTACAGCAATGACAATGTTGATACAAGAAATTCCAATTTCCAAGGATTTAAAAGCCAGACACAGAAATCTAATTAGGACCTTTGACAAAAACTGGGTGAATAAATAAATTCTAGGCTGAAGAAAATACTGGGAAAAAATAAACATTCTCCCCAAATCAGTTCAAACCCCTCATAAAAAGGAAAAATAAAGACGGGGTATTTGACGAAAAAAGCACTTCATCACTTTAGGAAAAATTTAGACATAAAGAGTGAAACAATAATGAATCAAGTTTTCCCAAATATGGGAAATACCAAATCATAACAAATTATCATCAGAACCGAGTGTGTCTTTTTCTAATTAAATCAGAGCTCTGAACTAATGCCACACCCTGAAAAATGCTCCAAAGAGCATGTTTTAAACAGGGCCAGTTCTCCCAGAGAGCTCCCCCTGTGGAACACCACACACACGGGGTACTGAAATGGCATGGATGGGACAGACCAGCCCCTGCCAATCCACAGAATTCCAGCAGAACACAGCAGGACATGGCTGGACTGAACACATTGTGTAGATTTATAAGTGCAAAGTGCTTGCAGGAGAAGGACAAATAGATGATTTTTGGTTGAATTTTTAAACAAATTGGGAAGGACAACTCTTCCCAAATGAACTGACTGGCAGATCTGTAAGTGGAAGGTTCTGATAGGAAAACCAACCTCAAATCTGAGCTAAAACACCAACACATTATGTTGGTAGGTTTTTATTTCCATGGCCACAACAAGGCACTCAAAATGCTTGTTGGAAACACAGTCAAAGCGTTTGCACTTATCTGGGACTTAAGCTCCTTATTCCACTCTTGCTGCCACTCAAAAAGTAGGCTTTTAATGGAACAATATGGCTTTATAAAAATCCTTAATATCTAAGAGAAAGTGTTATACAGCAGAAAGGACTCTGGTCTCAAAGATAACAGCTCAAGATAGAGGAATTTCTTTGAGATGCCTGTAATAATGGATTAATGTCACCACAAGCTTCAGAAGCACCTGGATGTGTTGAACTCAAATACCTTCCCTGATGAGGTGCTGTAGTAATTACAGACAGATGCTCAATTTGCATATGCTGAGGAGCTCTGTGCACACACAGAGAGCACTTCATTCATGGTTTGTCACTGTTGAAGCCAATGGCATAGACAGATATATATTATATAGATTTATATTAACTTCATGGGAAATCACTCAGAAATTCTTCTCAGAGTATCCCCCTGAGAAAAGGATAGCACGACTCCTAATGTGGGAAAACTGTATCCAGAAGGACTGTGGCAAAGACCAAATCACTACACCTACAAAGAAAGCCTCAACTATGAGAAAATTTTATATTTCACAGTAACTCCCAAATTTTATGAGATGAAGGGCAGACGTTAAACAGAAACAGAGGTGATATTCACTGCGGTATATCCCATTTTTCCCAACTATTTGGCAATATTGCCTCAATTATTTGGCCATAAACACCAGACTTGTGCTGGTTGAAGCTGGATGAACCAGATGGATAGAAGCAAATGTTCCTCTTATTTTACTATCAGGATCAAATGGGTCCAAAGGTGCTGAGTTAACAGGCAATCCTTGAGGCAACAGTGTTCTCCCAGGTGCCTGATCCAGCACAGGGTTTGAGAAGCTGTGGTGTGGAACCCCTCAGTAGCACAAGTCATATTTAGCCAGGTTGAAACACCATGAATTTAAAGACTCTTTTCTTCAAGCATATTCCCAATACAATGAAATGAAAGCTTTCCTTTCTCTGTTCAGAACAAAAAGTTTTACTTAGAATATTCCTACTAAAAAACAACAACCGTTGTGCATGGAAAATTTATATTTAAACCAGATTTTCAACAGGAACATGATTATGCTTAGAGTTTCTTACAAATACCAGTCTACAAAGAACTATAGGATCCTACTTGCATCCAACAGCCTCAAGAAAAGAAAATCCCTGCCACATTCATCACAAATGTTCATTACAGCACCTTGCACAACCCTTCCTCTCACTGTCCAGCTCTGAGTTTATGCACATCTCTTGCTGAGGACTGACTGTGGATGTGCTGAAGTTCTGTATGACCAGAACCTCAGCAGTCTTAAAAACTCAGTTCAATCTGTAGGGATTGAACACACACTGGTAATTCCCAAAATGCTGTCTGTAAGCAACTAGGTACCCTCACTAACCTGCAAAAGGATCCAGGGCAACTGGACTTGTGGTCACTTCGGTGCTCAAGGTGAGCTGTGGCTCTTCCCACATTATCTGCCCTTTCTGAGTAGTATCTCTCACTCTCTTGTACTTCTTGGAGAGAAGGAAATTAGATACATTTATGAAAATGGGAAATACTGTGTGGTCTAAGTCATTTGCGTAAAATGTATCTAAAAGGTAAAGGTCACAAAAAATTTCTCCACAGCTCTGAAGAGTCACCAGGGCTTTACACTTTGGTCCATTCTTTGCTGACACCATCTCCCACACTCCAAATAGGATAAAGCAAATATGGACACAACTCCCAACTCTGCAGAGATTCAGTCCAGCCTGGAAGAATACCTGCTATGAAAATACAGTTGTGAGATACTCCTTAACTGCAGTTGTCTTCTGGAAGTCATCCTAATTTTGAATAAGGTAATAGGTAAATCCTACTAAAAGTTATTAAAAGCAACTGTTTCTTCCTGAAAAGTGATCCCATAAGGCATTTCTACATGACCTTCCATTCCAGAGGGTTGGTTCAATACTAGTTAGCCTGGAAAATGCATCAGTTATCAGTTTTAAGGGCAGAGAATCCTGTCTGGGCCACCCTGAAGTGAATGCAAGCTTTGCTCTTGATTGTAAAGCAAAAGGATCTGCTTCATTCATCCCAACTGCTCAGAAATGAATTTAAACTCATGAACCTAATTAATTTTACAGGTATCATTAACAAGGTAACAGTCTAATCACAGGATGTGTTCCCTGGATCACTGTCCAGTGGTGATGAACTAAAACCAGCTGCACCTGCTGAGGGCTGGACCAAAACTAAATCCTACAAAAGTGAGAACAGGGTATAGTTAGAACCCAAAAGGAACAGTGTGGAGCAGGATAAAGTCACACTGTGGTGTGTTGGGCAGATTTATTTAAAGCTACAAAGAATCAAGAGCTAAGAAAGCTTTATGATGTTGTGAAGGCAAGAAGGAGCAATG